TTGCACCACCAGGGAGGGCCCAAGTTTACCCATTTTCATTGTCACACTTAAAAGAATAAGAAAAGATGCAAGGTCTCAGTGTGCATCCAGCCATCCCATAGGTCGAACCAGCAGGACCAGAATGACAAGCCTCATTCCTCAGTCCAGGCCCTACTTTATGCTCAGCAAGTTGCAAATCTTTTTCCTTCTCTTCTGCTACAGATGAAAACTGCAAGGACAGATACTACAACTGCAACGTGGTGGTCCAGGCACGCCTCTGCGTCTACAACTACTACAAGACTGCATGCTGTGCGTCCTGCACACGTGTGGCCAGCAGGCAACCAGGATTCCTGCGCAGCAGATAACCCCCCAGCACATCAGGGAACAGGCCCGGGAGTCTAAGCAGCGGGACTGCGGCTGCACGCACAGGGGCTCCCATGCCCAGGGCCTGCCAGCCAGTTGCATCACACTTCCTGAAGGCAGGTGGTTGCACCTACCCTTCATGGACCTCTGCGGGGTCCATGAGCAAAGCCACCGTGCCTCGCCTGGGGATCTGCCACCTGAAAACCCCACAGCAGGGAGAGTGTGTCCCTTTCATGCTGACACTCTCCAGCTCAGCAGTGGGCCCTAATGGTGCCACCGATTTTTCTGATATCAGCACCCCTTGGAGAGTCAGAAGAGGCAGTGACTCTCCCTACAGCCTGGCTAAGCCTTGCTGAGATGTCTGCATACCTCAGCCTGACTCTGCCTGTTTCCATTCTCAAAGATATCAGCCTGTTTTCCTACCTAATGACACAACTATCTATGTCAATATAGAGGTTTAGCTTCACAGATATATTCACAAATATCAGCTCATTAGCACCTCATGATACCCCAGAATGGGAGTCAGGGAATGAAGCACTATCCCTGGTTTGCTGACAGGGTCACTGACCTTCAGGGTACAGTCACTCGTTCAGGCAAAGCTGAGACCTGACCCCAGCTGACCACAAAACCCTCAGTCCAAGGTCTGTCCAGAAGTCCTAGGTCTCAGGATGCAGGTCATATCTGACTGACAGACTGAGAGGTTTCTAATCTGACAAAGCCCAGCCCTTTGAATCCTTTCCTTTCTGATTCCCTACTCTCAGCTGTTTCAAAGTCTGTTTCTATTGCCATCTCCCCCACTGAGTCACAGGACTCTGCAGGTTTTATTAACCGCACCTTCATAGATTCGTACGAGGAGGCAAGAAAGCAAGGTGATTGCCTAGAAATCTGATTCCATTCTCTAGAATAGGTACCTCCCGTAGATCCTAGTGGGTTACCTTTGGCCACAGAGTCTTTGTGTCCCAAAAAAGATTTACAGAGCACTCTGACTCCAGCCCCTCATTTAGCCAGTCATCCTAAGCTGTTCACCTGCATTTCTCAGTAGAAGGGCTGATCCATCTGCCCCAGCAAAAACACTTCACTTATATTTGAATCTCCCTTTGGTCTTTCCAGTTCAATTTATAGATTTCTCTTTGTGAATTCTCATCCCTCCTTCCCCCAACTCACAATCCATAACCTCACCTCCCAGAATTGAGCACTAAGATCTTCATTAATGCAGCCAGCTGAGAAAAGCTGAGCTATGAACCCATCTATTGACAGCTGCAACAGCAGGGTCTTTCTTTCCTGAGTCACTTAACTAGCTGAACAGTCATATGTCACTTAATGATACATTCTGAGAAATGCATTGTTAGGCAGATTCCTTACTGTGCAAGTGGCATAAAGTGTAATTACACAGACCAAGATGGTATACCTGCTACACACCTACTACGTACAGGGACCACCATCCTATAAATGATCCACTGTTGACCAAGATATTGTTAGGCAGCACATGACTATGATTGCAGAGGCCTCAGACTGGAAGGGAATGTAGTGCCTATTGGAAGACGAACTGTCTGAAAATTAAGGGGGGAAATGTATGTATGTTTATATATATATACATATACATGTATATACATATACATACATATATATACATACACACACATATAGATATGTATATATTTATCCATTAAGAATAATGTCAAGCTAAGCTTACAGAAAATGTATTCTATTTAGTACTGTTGGTCCTAGGTCTATTTCCCTTTCAAAGCAAGCCGGATTCTTAGCAATTCACTTTTCCCCATGAGCCCTTTAACCCCAAATCTGCAAAAACACTTTACTTATATTAGAGTCAGCTTTTGGAAGCAGCTTTTACCACCAGCTGAGTCTGACATTCTGTTAGGTTCCTACTACCACTGGGTTTTCAGAAATTCTCTTTGACCTTCTTGGGTGTCCTTTTCCCCAAGTGGCAGACACCACTGTCCCAGAGCACCCTCCTCTCTCCTGACCTGTGGGTAACTTGTGTGGATAAGCAGCAGGCAGAGGCCCAGAGATCAGTGCCAACCAAGCAAGAGCAGAGCAGAGACACCAAGGCTGTTGAGGGGGGTAGGGGGTCCCCCCCAGGACCACTCCCCTCTCACTACTTACTTTTGCTTCTTGTCACGAAGTATGTTTTCCTTTACACAGCACCTCTCACATCTTGCTGAACACACCCATCATGTGAAGGCATCCTCAGAAAAGACTGGATCTTGCGCGTGCTGGAGAGCAAGGCAAGATCTCTGGGTAGAATAGAAGAAAGACTGGTATCAGCTCAAGTTAAGTGAGGATATTCTAGCCTTCCCTGCTGCCCCACAGAGGCATGTGACAGAGGTCCGAGCCCACTCTCTGTGAATGACAGCTCTATCCTTCAAGGGATTTCTCCATCAAAAGGGAGGTGAACACCCCATGTGCTCCTACTCAGGATTCAGTGAGTGGGCTGGTTCCCTTTACATCTCACAATTCCTTGTGGCTCCCAGGTGTCACCTAACTGTCCTTTGAGAGAGCGGTCCTGATGGGCACAGGAGCAGTGGGTCAAGTCACTCTGGCAGGAGGGGAAGAACCTAAAGGCAAGTTCTTTTCTAACAAATAGTTGAGCTCTTCTTAGAATTCATTCTTCCTGGGAAAGACTATAAATTGCTAGAACAAGGATTTTATCAACTTGTCTGAGAGATCGACCTTTTACTAATTTCCTAGCTTCATATGTTGGCATCTAAACACCTTTGTTAACATAACGTACAGTTGTGGTCCTTTGGTCTTTACGTGAGAACTTCCGTGGGGAGGAAATCTGAGGGAAGCTTGGGCCGTGGCTCGCTCTCCTTCACTATGCCTCTGCCTCTTTTTTGGCACCCTGTTTTCATGCCCCTCCCCTTCCCATTATCTGTCCTCTCCTTTTCAGTCCTTTCATGTCCCCTTCCCTGGCCATGATGCAGAATTTAAATTTATATTTTAATTCTGCCTTTCCCCCCTTGGGTAGTGGATTGTCTTCTTCCCTGCTCCATATTTTTAAATGAATGAAAGCTGAATATGAATAATCGCAAAAATCAGCCAGGCTCCACCCAGAAATAGTTCGGTTTTTTTGCTTTCACCCAGGCAAAGACCATGTAATGTGGTCTGTGCTTCCCACCCTCACTCTGACCTGCACTTCTCCCCAAAGAAAAGGAGTAACACAAGAAATAGGGCACTAAAAAATGTTTGAGCCCAGCCACTGGGGGGGGGGTTCTGTTGATTATCGCATGTTGTTTGATGCCCCCCTGCTTGCCAGCCCACGGGAAACCAACAGACCAGGTCTGTCCAGCCCTGGGAAGCTGTCACGGACAGGGGCCCAGAACTTTTCATCTGTCCCTTCGCTTTACTTCTCTGGTCCAGGGTTCTTGGAGTGTTGATTTTCCCCTTCATTTTCCAGGATATGTCTCATCTAGTATTTAAACATTCAAGACTTTTTTTGCTTTAAAATGAATGGCTTTTGAGAGGAATGAAATATGGAAGTCACTAGATCAATTTATTTTCACCAAAATAGAAAGCTAAATCTACATGATTCATTCATACCTTTCTAAATCACGATTTTTTTTTTAAGTAACCATTTTAGACTTTGAATATCAGGTTTCTCATGTGGAAGAAGAGATAAATGGTCAAAAGACTTTCCTTAAAACAGGTGCATAATCAAGTCTAAGGAACCTCTATCAGACAGGCAGGTGGAGGACAGTGTCTGATCCTCATCATATAACACATTTTTTTATATATAGTTTGTTTTTACATCACTTTGTGCATTTTTCCATCTCAGTTGCAATCCCCTTTGGGCTTCCCATCACCATATCACCCATATGCCATCACCATAGTCCAGTGCACTTCCCTACCCCCATCGTTTCTGATCCCATTCCCCACTCCACCCCCACAAAATGGCTCTGGTATATAGCTGTTCATCATTATCATTATTTTCTCACCTTTTCTGTCATATTCCTGCTATGAGAGAAACCATCAGTATTTTTCCTTTTCTTTCTGGCTTATTTCACTAAGCATGATCTTTCCAGTTCCCATCATATAACACATTTTACAGACAGCTTAAATGGGAAAATGGTTGCCTTCCTGATAAAATCTGTGAATGACAGGAAGTTGGAAAGCTAGTGACTCCAGTGATCCAAAGAGATCTGGGAGACTAAAATAAAACCTGGGCCTTACAAATCCACCAGGAAGCAAATACTGGCCTACAGTGGTGAAGGGGAGGAGAAGACATCAGCATTTCAGCTGACTAAGCTCATAGTGAATCAAGAAAGGAGGATGAAATGACCAACCAAACCAGACATTTAGGTCACGCAGGGAGAAAGCACAGAAGAGAGCCAAACTGCATGTGTTTGCAGTTTCAGATACTTTAAAAGAATCCTGATAAAAGGTGTAACATGCAGATGAGCGTGCTCAGTCCCGATGAGGAGTACAAACTGTTAAAAAAAAAAAAGTGAAGGATTTTATGAGATTGTTTAGCCTAGAGAAGAAACAAGAGCACGTGGTCAGCGCTACAGGCAGGGAAAGTTAAGCTCTTGCAGGAGAACCAACTTCCCTCTTCCTTAGCCTTCAAGGGCTCTGCAGTCAGTGGTGACCGACCTGGTTCCGGAGGTCTCAGCAGAGGGTGAATGGCCATTCGTCAGGGATGCTGAGGGATAACTTTAAGCACCGTGATTTATAATGTTAGGACTTTCCACACTGGGACTTGGATGATGGTAAGTCAAACCGCTCTGTGTGAGCCACGTGGTCTGGCATGACCAGTGCTCAACCCACTTCCATCCAATGGCCATGTCAGCCTTCCTGAAGCTGACATTACTTTCTGCACCTCTTGTCTGAGCTGACTGTGATCTCAGACCTCAGAAACTACCAGAAGATTGGTCAGAGCCACGTGTCTGGTTTTGCTTCACAGGAAAATAACCAAATCCCTGTTGGCTGGCTTCTTGCCTGGGATCCACACTTTGTTGGGGCAGAGCCTTGACTAGAGAAGGGCCCTCCACATACCATCTCTTTCTCTCAGCTTATCTTGCTTTCCCACACTTTTGCCAAAAGCAAAGCAATTCTCTCCACTCACAACCACCCCACATCTTGTGGAGGAAAATTGACTGAAAGTGTCGGACACATCCGTCTTCCAGGTGGTGAACGTTGCCTCAGTGAGATGAAAGCCATTCACTCTGTTACATAAATTTCCTCCCTTGATCCCCACCCATGCAGTCTGACAGAAGGATATACTTTGTTGTAACTTATTATTTTGTTCTTTGTAAATACAAGATGTTTATAGGAAATATGTATTCTGAACTCTATCTTCAGAGTGAGTCACTACACCAAAATAGTTCTATTATTTAGAATATGTTAATTTTAAAGGGACCTAATAGGTATTTATTTACATATGTGATCCACGTTAATGTAAAATCATTTGATCATACTAACCCAGCTTCCTGTAAAGTGGCTACATGATGCCTTAGTTACAGTCTGTAGATATGACTCGGTGTACCAATAAGTCCAACTCCTTGGTTTTAAGATGGAACATGAATGACTCTACTTTTTTACTCATTCAAGTGTTTTCAACCTGGCATCGTGCCTTTAAGAGTTCTACTTTCCATCTTAAATATCCAATTTGTTCATATAATCTCTCTAGATTCATCCCTAAAATTTGGAGAAGGAAATATTGAGACTTTTTTCATCCCCCTCCCCCCCCCCGCCTTGCATCCTGGAATCACCATCAAAGAGTTGTGGGAGACTCGGTGAGAGCTGTGGCTGAGGCGGGTCCTGGCAGGGCCAGGGCGGAACTTGAAGGGTTATGACCATGCCCCAGTGTCCAGGATGGGGCTGCTGGTGGGGATGTAGAGCCTGGGGTCATCCCACCCACTATATATCCAGGAACATGGAATTCTCTAAAAACTCCATAACTTCATGTCACCCTTATACCACTGTATTATTTTTTAAAGGAGGTAGAAGGTAACAGGTGAATTATATGAGTAAATACAGTCCTGGTTTCAGCAAAAGTGACAACTATTTTTGTGTATGACTAATTTATTTTTATTATTGTAAAAATACAATAAACTGGTTAAGGATCACCTTTGTTAGCATGTTTGTACTTTCTCGGGCCTTATTCCAATCCGCTCAGATGGTTGAACACAGCCTTCCCTCCAAGTGCCTGCGGGACATTGGCTCGGGGTGCTGCATGGTGCCTGGGCTGCTCGGGTCGCCTCAGGTACATAGAACCCTTGCTTGTTGGCGCTCATCCTCCACCTTGGCTGTGTGTCAGAATCACCTGAGGAGTTTAGACTAGCTATTATTAGAGAATCATTCTGCAACCCACATATGTTTCTCCAAACCTCCCCCAAGAAGGAGAAAAGATCAAGACCCACCAAGCCAATTCTCAACCTGACTACAACTTCTTCCAGCAACCCTCCAGGCCCAGTCTTGGTTTTAATGCTGTATTTAACAAAATCTTCCAGGTTATCTTGGCACTGATAATATAGCGCATAATAGATAGGATGTAGGTGATAATGCCCACAGGAGCCACTGGACTGGACAAGCTCTGCCCTGGACTCCTTCCTTTACAGCTCTCCCCTGTAAGTCTTGGAAGCATATTATCATACAGGAAATGTGCTTCACCACTCTAATCTACCTTTTGTGCCTGGAAAATCTCCATGTATTCTCTTTTCTTTTTATTGTGGTAAGACCCATTTCACCTAAAGATGACTACTCTAGCCTTCTTAAAATTCACAGTTCAGTGGTGGTCCTCATACTTTCATTACCCCAGTGTTTCATTTATTCTTACCCAAATCACAAGTTCTCTACATCCTGATCTAACAACCGACTTAGAAAGTTGGAAAGTTAGCCCCGTCTAGGAACGAGAGCACTGAGATTTAGGCTCAGTAGCTCTGGGTTCTCCCGTCTGCCTGGGCCACTCCCGTGTCCATCCCCCAGGGGCAGGTTTTACACACCTCCAGCCCAGGTTAGCGCTGGTCTCTTCTCCACATGGGTTAGTCACCGATGGACAAGGACTGGAGGGGACACTCAGCCACTGGTGAAAAGTTGTGTTTCTGCTCAGGATTGTAGGCTGCCATGCAGGTACAGCAGCAATCAAGAAGAGCTAACAAGTCTGTTCTGTTCTAGAGATCACACCCTGGCTGGAGCCCCACTGCCGGGGCCTAACCTCATACAGGTTTACTGACCACCAGGAAGGACCCACAGGATGGTGACTGGAAAGGTCACTGGTACTGAGAGCGAGGGGAGGGGTCTGGTTTAGGGGAAATGGTGGCTTCAACCACTTCAGACATTCAAAGGCAGTCAGGGACAGACATGGAGATACCTGGCAGATCAGCAAAGAGCAGTGACAGGGAGGGAGTCAGACTTGGTGCAAAACTAGATGTTTCTGGTAATGGCAAAGCATAACTGTGGAAGAAGATACTTCAGAGGCAACAAGACCCTCAGAATTAGCAGAACAAAAAATTGAATAGACATTTAAGATGGCGTAACTGAATGCAAGGATGTGCTCAGTTGACACTTGGATGTGATGGTGGTGTTTGATCAAGCAAGAGAATGTGTCAACTGGGCTGACCTTCCAGAATGAGGGTCATGATGTCTACAATCTACATTTACCTGGGTAAATAAAATTGTGTGGGCAGGGAAAGCATGATGCAGTAAGATCAGGTGTACTTTGGTGAGTATTAGTGAAGAGTCAGTGGGGTTGAACTCCCCTATCATGATGATCCTCCCTCCCCCAGAGGAGATAGCAGCCTGTAAGTCTACCCTGTACCCCCAATGGAGCCTTGTAGTCATCAAGGCTGAGAAACCCCGATTCACTGAGTACCTACTATGGACCAGTTCCCTCACGTCATTTATTTAATTTTATGAAATAATCACTTGTAACCATTTTAGTATTAAACCACTGAGATTCAAAGGGAACACATAACTTGATCAAGGACTTGACTATTAAGTGGCAAGATGTGTATGGAGATTTCTAAAAGCCTCACTGAGTGATAAAATCAACTGGAATGTTTTGTTTTCAGTGATATTAGGACCCCAACTCTGGAGATATTCTAGTAATCACTGTTGGGGATAGAGCCCAGGCAGTGATACCCCTAGTATCCCTGGGGAATTCTTGCCACAGCTGAGAGTGACAGAACAGTGCCTGTTGCTCTTTAACCTGCCGCCAGGGTTCTTGTTAGAACTTCTTGTTCTAATTCTTGGGCAAGGCTGCAATTCCGCATTTCTGATTGCTCTCAGGTAAAGCTGATCCTTTGAAAATGAGTCTCTTCACCCTATACGTTAGTTTCATATTTTCTTGTTCTTGGGAAGTTGCACTGAGGTTATAAAGTTCAGATTCTTGGATTTAATCTACCAGTTTACCCCTTTAACTGATGAAGCAGTTAAGTCTTTGTATTCATGTGTCACACACGATTTAATTTTTAACCAGATAATCCATGTCCATTCTGGCATTCATTTGACCACAAGTTAAATAAAATCTTGGCTACCTTATTTTTCATTTGTAACAAGAAGCCTAGAGGGAAACAGTTGCTGGCATAGATCAGCAACTCAGTCATTTCTGTGCCAGCTTCTCTACAGTTCTCTTGACTTTTTCCTCACGGTTGCAAGAGCTTCTCCTGTTCCAACTTCAGGTCCTTTTGCGGGGAGGAAGGAGGAAGGACAGTTGCAGTTGCATGTGTCTCTAGGAGAAAGTAAACACTTGCCAAAGTCTCCTCCCCAAACCAACAAATTTCCTCTTAGGAAACACATGCCTGATAGCGGACATCTGGAGCATGGTGGCGGCGTGCATAAGTGGGCA